GAGTTGTGTGGAGACCCCGCCAGTGGTGGGGAACTTGTGGTGATGCTCTGGGGATGGTGGTCTCCTGGCAGCTTGCCGATCCTAAAATTTCAGCTACCTTCAGTTTAAGGGACACGTTAGTGGCCTAAGGCGCCTTTGCTAAGATGGAGGCTCCCAAGGTGACTGGTCTGAACAGTTGGGCTAGTCACCTCCCCATAATCCACTTTTTGGCCCCGAAGTATGTGTTCATGGCCTTTTTTTTGTCCTCGTTGAGTTTCAGTAGTGAGTGGGAAGCTCATGGCACCAGTGCCAGGAGTGCCACTTGTGTCATCAGTGCCTCCACAGAAACGCCCGTGCCATGCACCTGCTTTGTCATCAGCATCCTAGATTTTGAAAAACATACTGTACTTTTTCTTTGCTGCTTGGCAGAGCTTTTATAATTAGGCAGGAGCTGTGGTTTTAGGTAGTGGTTCAGGACATGGAGCCACACCTGCCTTTACCAGTGGGTGAACAGAGACAGAGGAAACGCTTCTTACTGTAAGCTTAGTGTTGACTGAATGTGTCATCTTGACAACAGTCAAAAGTGGAATGCTGAGTATATGCTACCGAGGAAGATGGAAAGAAAAAAGGGTATAGGCAGTAGACGCTTTGAGGTTCCTACTGAGCTTCATGCCGGAAGTGCTATATCTGGAGTTACCTCAGTGCTTTACCCTTCACGTCCAGTACTAGTCCTCTATTCGGAGCATTAATATAGGTCTGCTTGTGTCAGTGCTCAAGCTGGCTGTAACCTCCCTTTTGGAAGGGAGGTTAAAAATTTTGAAACTTCCAGCAAGCTTAGCGTGAAAGGAGATTTTTCTTGTGTGAAGCTTGAAATGAGGGGGAGCATTTCACACAGACCCCTGCAAAGACACTACATGTTGGGGACTGTTGGACATTGTTGACCAAGGCCTACCATGTGGGCCATTGGTGTCTAAATAATGGGCACTGTAGTTTCTGTCCAGTGTTCTGAGCTACCTAGCTCCGTAGGTGCTATAGTTTCAGGAGATCTTACTGCTAGGATAATTTACTATCCACCTCAAAGGCTGAACATGAGCTCCCTGTTAGGATTTTTTGGCTAAGGAAAAGCTGTGAGGCAGTGTTACCTCTACATATGGCAGTAACCAGCCATTAGTAGACTAGGGTGTCCAGTTCTGGTGTCTGTGCGTGAAAAGGGATGCTGATGAATGGGAAAGGGTTTGGAAAAAAAAAACCTGCAGAAGTGTTTAGACATCTGGAAACTGGATTGTATAGAGTGAGGTAAACCAAATAGGTTGAGCTGCTTATCAGGAAGTGTCAAGAGGTGCTTGTATCAGATTATAACTATCCATGCAAGGAGAAGAAAGCCGATCATCAGCAGACAGGGGTAAAGCAACATTCAGTGACAGGAATTTGAAACTGGACATTCTCAGACGAGAAATAAGGCACATTATTTAGTGTACTAATATAGCCGAAGAGTATGGCATTGATTATGTCTCCTCAAGGCTTGTAAAAGTCTAAAACCTGTAACTAAATATTAGCTAGGAAATAAAGGTTTTCCGTGCAAGGCCAGACCAGAGATTTTATGACTATACTCTGAGGCCTTGCCGCATGTGAATGGCATCACTAAATCCTTTTGCTTCCCCAGGGAAAAAAAAAATACTAAGCCCAAGGTATGCTTGCAAAATATCTTTTATTCCCTCAACAAACCTGATAAAATCCTGTGTGCTGTCTTGAAAGATATTTAAAAAGTAGGTATTGGAATGATGAGATTAACCTGATTTACACAGTAATAACTAGATGCGTTTCAAATTGGCTAAGAAGTTTCCTAATACTCACTGTGATGTTAGTAAATAGGATTTGCATGATGTTGATTTTTCTTGAGATGGTATGCTGAAACTCCTTAACCTTTACAAATAATCCATGGCTGCAGGGATATGATCTGTCTGAATGAATGTTGTAAGTCATTCCCAGAATTTTAGAAAGGCAAATTTATCTGCTACACGTGTTAAGTGACTCTGTATGCTTTTGGAAATTTTTTTTTTAAGCAGTCTTCCCTTCTTAGGTGTTCTGTTTCTCCATTGTCTGCCTCGGCAGAGTTTGCTCTGTGCACAGGTGTGCTGCAAGTGCTTAAGAGGAGTGATTAGGACCAACTGACATGGTGTGGTGTCCCATGATACTGGGCTCTTAGTTGACTGCATAATCTTCCATTTAATCACTGGCTGCAGCTTTAGTATTTCTGCAATAGTGTTTCAAATGCAAAAACAAAAAAAAAAGGCAAGTAACATGTTATTTGCTCAATCCTGTGACCTGGAAAATGAAAATAAAAATATAATCTACTACCTTAAATTGTAGTTAAGATATATATAAAACATTTTTGACAACAAATATTGGAAGAATTAGAATGTGTATGATGAATGGCTTCAGATACTGAAATCTGTTCTTTGGTATTAGAACATGCAGCATTCCCATTTCAGTGAATGAGAATTCTGCCTGCATAAGCAGAACTGCGGCCCAAGTAATAATAAAATACATGCTGCAGAAAGATAATTGTATGCTGGATTCTTCCACAGGTTCCTCCTTTGTCTAGCAGTGTGTTTGGTTTAGTTATTCACCACTGAAATCGATGAGTGCATAGCATTGATTATAGATAGGACAAGTCTGAACATAGTATTTGAGCAACAAGAAACCTTAATTTTATGAATCCTTATGCCTATTTAGCATAAAGTCCATATGTGCATCTCAAGCTGGCTGCTGTTCAAGGTTAACGGTAATTCATGGTTTTGTAAGATTGTGACCTTGGACCATAAAAGTGATTATAGTTAAATATTATTTCAAAATGTTACATTGTGTAGTTCGCTATGATGGCTTAGTGTTTTGCAGTATAGATGCGTTTTAGTAGAAAGTATTTGCCTTGACTCATTTTCTTTTGTTTTTCAGGAAAAGAAATGGAACAAGTTCAGTAACTATCCAGTCTAAAGTCTTACTGATATCTTGAGGAATCTTACAAATATTTATTTTGAATTGAGAAAATGACTGCAGATATAGAAGAAAGTACAGGTTGTTGGAAAAGAATACCTGTCAAAAAGTGGATCATCCAATAGTTAATTTGGAAGTAGTATAAAATAAATATACCTGTTATGGTGCGATTCTGGAGCGGAGTTAACTCTCTAGCACACAGGTAGCTCTCCAAGGAGGGGGGGGAAAAAAAAGAGAGCTTTCTGTTTTTCTAAATTATGGAAATTTTTTGGAAGACGTGGACATGGATTTTGAGCCTAGTCATGGTTTCATCGGAATTTCACAGTGACAACAGGCTTTCATATAGTTCTCAAGGTAGGGGTCTGACCTCTGTAGTTGACAAGAAGCATCTATTTTTGCATTGTATTTGGGTAATATCTTCTAAACCACATTTATATAATTCATGAGATCATATGGGCTCTGCTCTTAATTTTATCATGGTTCATTGTTGAAATTTAAATACAGCAAATCTGACTTTTTTTTTTGTTTTGTTTTAATTTCTTTCTGTCTACTTTTCACTGTAGGAAAACGTTGCAAATTAAATCTAGTAAAATGTTGTACGTGGTAATAGTTCAGAGTCTTGCCATAACAACATTAAGATGTGTTTAGACTAGGAAGTAAGGATCTAATCTTACTTTGATCCATTAACATTTATAGGTTTTTAATGAAATGAAGAGCTGTTTACATGTTTTTGTAATATTTTCATTACTACTGTTTTTATTCTTGCAGGTGGATCTAATAGCTTTTGTCTTTCAGTGGTATCCCTAGGAGGAATGTGTCCTTCTTGGGTTAGAATTTAGTGCCAAATGTTTTCATATTTTGGGTAGATAGGAAAAGATAAGTAGTTAAAAACTTTTGTATTTCCAGTGACATCAAATTAATAGGAAACTGACTACATCGTCTTGACTTAGAAAGAAAAGAACATTTTATTTATTTTATTTAGTAAAATGCTATGTCTTGCATTTTCCTGAAAATGACTTTTACTCATGAGGGTGATGAGATTTAACCAAGTATGGTTTATGTTTATACTACTACTTGTTGTTTCCTGTTATATTTTCTTCTCTTCTATGCCCACTCCCTGGACTGTCTTACCTTGTGATTACAAAGAGGAATTCCTGTCTTACCTTGAACACTACCAACTAACAATCCCAATAAGGGTTGATCAAAATGGAGCCTTCCTCAGCTTTACTGTGAAAAATGCTAAACCCTCAAGAAGGAGGAGGAGCACAGACCCTTATGACCAAGAACTGGCAGCATCTAAATTATTTTTTAAACTTTCTGCCTATGGCAAGCACTTTCATTTAAACCTGACTCTCAACACAGATTTGGTGTCCAGACATTTTACAGTAGAATACTGGGGGAAGGATGGACCGCAGTGGAAGCACGATTTTTTAGACCACTGTCATTACACGGGATATTTGCAAGACCAACACAGTACAACTAAAGTGGCTGTAAGCAACTGCAATGGTCTGGTAAGTGCACATTACATGTTCTGGTATAATAGTGTGCTTGTCCCTTTTAAATTACATAAGAAGAACTTAATTGGCATATCTTTCAGTTTTTTGAGTCCCTGCGGGAAGCAAGCAGACAGGAAGGTGCAGAAAACCCCTAAAACCTGATCTGGGTCCTGGGGAAAAGTAGTCATCAGTTTTTCAAGCTTAATTGTAAGTACTAAGACCCAATTCTGTAGTCCTTTAGCAGGCAACATTTTCAGTGTTCACAGTGTCTGCATTAGGGCTGCAAGATATTAGGTCTGTGCCAAGATCCTTACAGGTTATAAAAAATGTTGCAAGCTCAAGGGATAGCGAGGACGAAACCGTGGATCCTGTAGGGTGCTGAATCTCTCCAGAGGGACGCTGATTCAACTGAACACCCTCTTGTCATCTTTGAGAATTTGGGTTTAGAAACTTTGAGTAAGTAACAGAGAAGAGGAGTTGCTTGGTGTAGAAGTTGTCATTGCTATTAATCCAAAGAGTGAAGAGGAAAGTAGATCCTTTGCAAGTACTAGCACTGGGAAGTAATTATTTACCTTTCTTTAGAAATATTTTGTTTAGAAATTGTAAACAGTTGCATTTAAAAGTAGGGTTAGAAATTCTTACCTTTTATTCTTATCTCTTCTTGGACTGTTGATTTCTTGATCACATGATTGTAGTACTTGCATGGGAAAAAGCTTCTTTTATTCCCAACAGAAATTAGAAAACAAATGCAAAAAATTAAAAAACCAGACTGTTGAGTAACAAAATACTAAAAGAGAAGGGCATGACTAGGAAATACTAAGTAATTTATCTAGTAAAAATACATGTATATATTATGGTTATTCATTCTGGTTTTTAATTATAGTAGACCACTGGTCAATCTTCTTGTTAGGAATAGACAGATCTAACTAATGGCTAAGGAAAAAAAAAAGATGACACAGACTTGCTAAACTAATCCCAGTTTATCCTTGGAACTGCTATTGAGTAATGTATCTTGGGATGTTATTTACAAATAAAAGCCAGCTGCTTCAGACCTACCCAGCAACTTGTGATACTCCTGATACAGTCTGGGTTAACGTTTTGGAGTACTGTTGAGCAAAAAGAATTTAATAGGGAATTCCGGGGCTCAGTGAACACTTTCAAAGAAATGTAGTTAAAATGATGTTCTGTTGAGTGTGGTATCACAGTTTGGTTAATGCAGACTGGTAGCAGATAGGTCTGAATTTATTATAATTTTCACTTTGGTTTTGCAGTTCTCGTATAACAACTTCTTTGTCACAGTTATTTAAGCTCTTAACTAATATACTCTATATCATTTTGCTTTTGAGTTGTTTTCAGCTAAAAATTACTATGGACACTAAATCCCTGCTTTCAGGATTCACTTCTTGAAAGAGGCTACGTGCCTTTATATCTCCAGAGTTTCTGCCAGTAGTGGCACAGAGTGGTTGGCCACTTGGAGCTTGCAGTCAGTGCCATGGTGATCCCATTTCAGTTCTGCTCTGACCTTGGCCAGGGTGTGAGCCAAGAACATGTGCTCTTGATTTAGCCAACTCTTGTTTTCCTTTCTTGTTAGGAAAACAGGAGTGGGATAGGCAGGAAGAAGTCCATGTTTTCCTATCAGCTTTGCCCATCTCTTGCTCCTGATGGCACTTGTTTTCTTCAACGAATTTAGCAGCATGGGAGGTATCATGGTGAAGCAGAACTCTTTTTTTTTTTTTTTCTCTCTTCTGTGCCTCACCCCCGGAGGTGACATTGAGCACTGCCATTACTGTGTGTTTTCCCTCTGCTCTCAGCCTTGCTGTTTTGCTGGAGGGAGGCTACCTGTTCTGCGGTTCTAGGTGTCAGTATGTTAACAACGTTAACTTTAGCATGGAGTGCTTCCAAGTTAAATTGTCATCTTGAGTGCTTTTAGTTGTCATCAGCTCTTTACATATTTCTTCCAGGTACTAAGGCAGCTTTAATCCAGTCTCTGGACACACCACAACTGGCACTCTCAAGTTCTTCATGGTCATGCCTCTTCCTTGGGACTGCAAGTGTCAGGTGTCCACTGCATCTCCTAAGAAGGCCTAGTCATAAGCACGCGAGGCTCCTGTCATGCTCCAGAAGCAGCAGCAGAGGTGACACAAGGCTCTTTCTCAGAGAGGCAGGAATCCTGCAGTGGGGTAGGCAGTGGTAGGCTCAACTTGGTGTTGTCCTCTGCCATACAGAAACGCCCCTGTCATCCCGTGTTGGCAGGGCCTTCCAGAGCTCGGAGTATGGGAGTTACCACTCCATTCAGATGAATCCATCACAGACTTGTTTTTACATGATGATTCCTACTGAGGCATATTTTGTTATAGAGAAGCTGGTTAGAACATGTTTAATAAAGCAGTTGGCAGTGAATATTGAAGACAGCATTACTTGTTTTAGAATTAGTGATAGGTCAGAGTATGTCGTCCTTAAGGCATTCGTTGGATTTTCCAGTCTGATTGTTGGGTCTGTAAGACACTGCCAGTCACGTTCTGCGTAGTCCTTGATTAACACCTGTCTCAAAGCTAGTCATTTTAAGTTTAACACTAAAACAAGAGTAATCTTTAACAGTGAGTATTAACTCACAAGCAAAATTTAAGAATTCCATTTGCTCCAGTTGTCCTGTTAAGTTTTAGGGTTGCCAAATGAGTCAAATCTAGAATCATGGAATAGTTTGGCTTGGAAGGGACCTTTAAAGATCATTCTGTTTAGTTATTCAGGGTGGTCAGGTGAGACCATGATCTAATTAACATAAGTTGTATGACTTTGAAGAACACTTGTAGTATCTGAGTGGAGTTCTAGTGCAAGGAGGGCTTTCTCTCAGTTTCATTATAATAAGACTGATGAGCAGTCGGTTCATTTCCCTGTCACTGTTTCCTGTTTCAGCTTCTCCCTCTATATTGCTCATTACCAAGTGCCCCAGAATTACAGGCTGCTGCTTACTGAAGTTTCCTTCATTGCAGCGGTTTCCATCTGTTGGGCCCTGATTATGCTATAAATTGTCTGAAGTTATGAGGAAAGCTCTATAATCCAGTGAGCAGTCATGGGAGGAAATTGAAGGTCTTGTCCAGGAGGCTTGCTGGCTTCCAAACTCCTACTTACTGTAGTAGATGTTACATTTGTGGATGGATTGCAGGTTTGGCCTTCTCATGAAAGAGCCTGCAACGAGCAGCGTTTTGGGGCCTTTGGATGTTGGGTGCAATGCAACAAGGCTGAGGCATTGCCTAAGCTGAGTGTGTCACACTGAAGGAAAGAAGAGAAGAAACAGCAGCAGACTGGCTGAAGAGGGAAGAACACCGCCTCAAGGGAAAGAAGTTTGTCTCATTCTGAGAGGAGCAAGTCTTAAGGAAGAAAAGTTTTGGAGCTCACAGTAATGGAATCGAGCAGAAACCAAACTTTTTGCATTCTGACTTACCTCTGTCCTCTGCCAAACTTCAAAGATCTTAACTGAGTACTCAATAAGTTTTATACAGTAGCAGATTTTCTCATTTTGAGCTGAAAAGCCCAGTAGTGGGAAATACTTTAAAATGTGTAGAAAGTGATTCTTATTAGGAAAGTGGATGAGATGTTAAATCACATTTTGAGGCTACTATGGCTCCAAGGAAATGTTTACTGTAAAAGACCAATTATTTCCGTAGCATGTGAAGTTCTATGCACTGCGTAACATTTTTGCTGAGTATCGCAGGTGTCTCCATCCAAACAGAAATGCTAAAGAAAGCACAAGAAGTAGGCTGTGGCTAAAAGCATGACCTTACTTGGTTAAAGGAGGCATTATTTTGCTGGAAGACTTCATGTTTGTTTCATCTATTCCTAAATTCATATGTGTATAAATTATTTATACTCTTCTTAAATTAGCTCATTTGAAAGCTGATTCTACCATAAAGAATGCATCTACTTTTATAGATTATAAATTGCGTATCACATATTATTTTTGAATCGTATGTCAAATAATGTCTAATTTATAAAATAATTTATAAAGATCAGAAATTATATTGAAAAGAATATATTGTTCTAGATCAGTGTCTTTGGAGTTCTCTTTGGTGCTAATATGTATTTGCAGTATAGACTTAGTATTCAGAAAATTATACATAAGCTGTCCCTGTCCTAGTTTTAAGGTGTCTTGTTAGATTCCATGATATACTGTCTCTGGCCAGATCACTACTTTTTTCATCTTTAAGAACACAGTAGGCTAATACAATCTTTTTCCTCAGTCATAAAACGACACTGGCATGTATAGCCAGCTGTAGACATTCTGAACAACACTGACACGTTTTTAGAAGTTTCTGTTACTACTACTTTATATTAAAAATGGATAATGCATAAGGTCCAGAAAGGTTCAAGTCATGAAGAAACTGTAAAGCAGTAGTACTGTGTGGAAAAGGCACACACTTGCTTGTCCTCCATAATTCAGTTTGCTTCTGTGACTGATGGACATCCTCCAGCTGCAGGAAGTTAAGGCCCCAGCTGGACAGCCTGACAGAAGAAGATTCCTTTTCACAAATTCAGGGGAACTCCATGTGGATTCACAGATTTGTCTGAGCATGTCAAACTGCTGGATCCAAACCTTATATATGTTAGCAGGAGTTGGCAGCCTGTAGTGGGATTGGATAACATAGGACCTCAAACAATCTGTTTTAGATAATGATCTTGGGAATGTTGCTTGTAGTAACCTACTTGGGGCATTCAGCTTGTTTCTTAAATTCATAGTATTTTGTCAAAACCTTTTGCTGGTCATTCTTATGTTGTAAGGGTATTTCTTATGGTTTGGAGCAGAAGTTTAATTTACAAACTGTTCAATAGCAAAACTAAAAAAAAAAAAAATTAATTCCTTTTAATGCTTTACAAGGGCATTATTTCAGTCTCCTTTTTCAGCTGAAATTGTGTTTTGCCCAAATAGTAGATTATAAGCCTAAAACAGGGTTTAGTATATGCTGAATGCATATACAATGGAAATATCTCTAGCCACATGAATTTTCTAGACTCAGAATAAATGCTGATTGTCACTGACATAGGTACTTTTTCTGTACAGAATTTAGAGTGCTTCTTGAATATCAGTCACTGTGATTCAACAAGACCACTTGCATCAGTTTAATATTGGAAGAAGAGTTTTGTTTGCAAGCAAAATTAATATGTTAGGTTTAAAATGGTATACGTGTGTCAGGCTTATGTGAAGGGCATATGTAGGGCAAGTGCGTTTCCAGTGTTTATCAGATCATGTGGCTGGCTGGAGCTAGTGACCGCATACATGTTCTGACTACCTGGTGGTAGGTGTAAGTTAAAATTTATTTGCAGTCCCTCAACTAAATGTTACTCAAATGTCTTTTCTTAAACCACCATCGTGTTTGGGCAGATGAGATCAGGTGTCAACTAGGTGTAGGAAAAGTTAGTGATACTCTGGTAACCTTTTTCACTGCTGGTACCTGAAGGAACTGTGATCATGGTTTGCAGACATTTGTAATAGTTTTTGTGTATTTGCTCCTGCAAATACTCAATTTGTATAGAGAATTAATGCCACAGTTAAGTGTTGTTTATGACATCTGAATTGACTCACTCCCGTTGAGGTAATCTCACTGCTTAAAACTATCAGTTTCAGTATCTGATATAAATGTTTTATTCCTGCTTAGAGTTGTTAACCTGGCTGGACTTGAGTACAGACATGAAGGATGTGTGCTCTGGAGTAATCAGATTTAGGTTAAGACCCACTCTGTTGCAGAGGCAGAGCCACAGGTTGGGTGGTACCTTTGTGTCCTCAGGCTTGGCGTGAAGCGGACAGCCTGATGGTGTTGGCTAGAACCACTCTGCAGGACTCTTCCTGTGGGAACATAATACCAGAGCTTATTATGGCTCAGGATTTGCTTGAACCCAGATGTCTGACATCCAGACTGGATGCAGTCCAGACTATCAAGGTTCTTTCTGCACATCTGGCAAACCCAGTTACAATTTGGTTTATATTTTCAATACTATTTAGGCAGCAGTGTACAAGTAAATGATTTATTTTGTAGTAAAATCTTAGACTCCAAGTAACAAGAAGGCATTGTGAGAGGAATTTGATATCAGCATCTTCCAGGTGAATACAGACCCTGATGTTACCTTCTTGTGTAAATAGTTGAGTTCATAATGAATAATACCGCTGAAGCGGAACACTTACTGTTATATTTGCTATGTAAGGAATGTGTAATTGAAAGCTCCAGTGTGTTCATTCATATATTTTCAAAATTTATAAAGAGGGTTATAATTGGAAAACATTGTTGTTTCTGATGTGTTATGCAGGATTTTTTGTTTTGTGAGTTTTATGTTGTTAAGTTTTATGTTGTTACTGAAATCCGGTTATTCCAGGAGTGAAGAATGGCAGGCATTTGATCTACAAGACAGCAGCAGGATGACAGCTTTGACCAAGAGTACAATGGCAAGCCCTGATCTTAGAAACAGCTTTAGGATATTTAGAACAGATATGGAGCAAGTGGTCTTATGGCTGATCATAGAGGCCTCACCAGAGGGAAAAAAAAACCTCCTTTAAAAAAAGGTGTATGTGTAGTACTTGCTTTACAGATCAAAGATGTGGTAGAAATTTGTGATTCATCAAATCAAGGTATGAATGCAGAAGTTCCTGCTTCTGGTCTTCTACTTGATGAGTAGTTCTTTCTCCTGGTGTAGAAAGTTCATACATTCATAATTTTCTAGGTATGGGTACTAGAACTTTCTATTTAGCAAATGTAGGTGTAGGAGTCTGTCAGGGCTTATTTCTGTATCTGAAAGGATCCTCAAACTGGATTTTCTGCTAAAGTTCAGTTTTAATTGCTGAAGGTTCAGGAAATTGCATAGTTGGCCTGAAATCTCCCCTTTCTTCCATAAACCACTTCCTGTTTGGAAGAAACTGAGTTCACAAATGTGAAAGTTATGAGAATAGAATATCTACTATTCTGCACTGCAGTATGAGGGGAAAAAAATGTTCATTTGTTACGGAGAGTGAAGTCGAGTGCATAGTCTGCAACAACTCGGATTTGCCAGATTTGTGGCAAGACCTTTTAAGGAATAAATGCTTTCTAGAGTGTAGCCTAAGTTAATAATTTGATCTTAATAACTGGCTCAGTTTGGAATTAGGCATCTGGATGTAGAATGCTGAATGGTCTCCCTGAATATGTGTTCTAAACTTAATACTTCATGCCGTTCTTCTTTGACGCAGTATGTGGCTTTAAGCATCTCCCGGTATGGCATCATAGAGGGATATTGGTCTCACCATTTGAGCAAGGCCATTTTGTTGTGGTGTCACTTTTAATGGATACGAATCATGTAGGTTTCGAACATCTCTGTGAAGAGATATTTGTCGTCTTCCAAGAATATCTATTACTTTCTTACTACCTCCACTAAAAATGATGGGAAAGAACCCCAGAAACAGGACAATGCTATTTTTATTCTTTTCTCATTGTGTTGCATGTAGGTGGTTACTCCTGCTCTCACTAAAATCAGCAGAGGAGAGCTGGCTCACACATTGTTTTCTGTATTGGCTGTGAATTTCTTCAGAGGTAGATGATAGTCAAATGTTTTTTAAAGTTAGCTTTTTAATAGGAACTTTTTATTGTCTTTTGCAAGTTTTTATTTTCTTATTTTCTTCTTTAAGCATGGAGTCATTGCTACAGAAGATGAAGAGTATTTTATTGAGCCTTTGAGGAATGTAACAGAAGATCCTAGTAACTTTAATTATGAGAATGGTCATCCTCATGTTATATACAAAAAATCTACCATGCACCAGCAACATCTTTATGATCACAGTCACTGTGGAGTCTCAGGTAAATGAGTATGATTGTCACTCTGTTTAAAAAATTGTAACTTAAGATGTGCTTTAAAATCTTGCTTGGTTCACATATAAGACACAGTGGAGAATGTAGCAATGGGAATCCTCCTTTTGGGGGATGCAATGTGTCTTGTTGAAAAGTAGTTTTGCTTTTTTTCAGATTCAGATCGAGAGCATAGTGTCTTCCTAAAACTCAGAAACTGGGAGTAAGTCTTGTTTTATGCCTGTGTGGTGTACAGAGGTAGTAATGAGCATGGGCTTCCGCAAAATGTTCTGTAAGTGTACGTTGTTCACCAACTGGAAAGCATGATTGAGTGACTAAGTATTACAGCTCAATGTTTAGTAAGTGTTCCATCTCATCTGAGGAAACTTGACATACAATAAATGTGTTAGCATTATGAGTAGTAATACATTTGGATCTGGAGCCCACATCTTTCTCATTTTTGGAGGTTTCTGGTGTTTTGATATTGGCTTTCAGTTCAGTGGGTTAACATCATTCCATAATATTCGAGTATGTGATTTACAGGTGCCTTATGGGAAGGATTATATAGTTTTGATTGAGACATGTTTTCTGTGTAAAGCAGTTTTAACTTCCACAAATACAATTTTCAAGTACTCTTTGACATTATTTTCACTTGCTTAAACTGAAGCTGAAACCTGACTTCACGGAGACAGCATGAAGTAAATCTGACAAGTTATTTGAGAGCACTAAAATAATGTGGTTTTTTTACATAATAGAAAAATGTTCTAACCTTGTCATTTGTTTATATTTCAGAAGTAGCTTGTTCTTAAAAGTTCAGTCCTAGATGGTTGTATGTCATGAAATTCAGTGCACAGGGCAGGCTGACAAATACCCATCTTAAAATAAAATAATATCTGTTCACTGTTCATTGATGTAACTTATTGCAACTTCTTTTGGAAGTTGTAACTTTTACTGGCACCAGCTGATTAAACTTAGAGTTACAGATTGTCTAGAAAGACCCCTGCCTGGGAGACAGTTTTTCCTGAGTGTTTCAGTTAACTGTGTTTAGGGAATGTCAGAATTTATGTGTGTAACTTCTATTTTAGTTTGGAAGCATTATGCTATCTATGTGCTTCTAATATTGCAAAGCAAGTCTTCTAACTATTACTGCATGCTAACTGATTGCAGAGTAAGAGTACTAATGTATGTACATTTTGTACAGGCAAAGCTGTCACTTAAGCCTCTTGAAATAAGTGGAAGGATTATGAAATGTAGGATGATGCAATTTTTACCATTATTATATCCCCAGAAAAAGAAAGGGTACTGGCCTCATGTCAGATGTTATCCTCTAGATTAATGCTGAGGACATTATTATCCTCCAAGTGAGGAGGAAGCAATGGCAGCTAGTTTGGTCAGGTTGCACTCAGTTGTTCTGGCGGTATGTCGTACCGATCATAGGTTGATCAGAGCTATGCATCTTGTGTGCATTTTTTGTGAAACATGCGGTAATGCTTAGCATTTATTCCTTTGCGTATTTGATGCTGCCTTTGTTCTTGGAAGCTCCTGTGCATTTCCTGAGCTTTCATATCTGTCACATCCTGAAGTCCTTAATTACTGAAATTCTAAAGCACTGCTTTTTACAAGCCTCAGGACTACTATCATGCTTATTCATCTCAGTTCCTGCTTTTCCTGTTGTTCTGAGTACTACTTCCACGCCAGGAAAATTTCAGAAAAAATTTTCCCTCCCCCAAAACTGCAAGGTCTTACTTTTCCAGATGACGTGCATCTTTAATGTTCGTCTCATGGGTACCAAAACCTTTTAAACCCATTTTCTGAGCACTGTTGCAGCTTTATCACAAAGTGGCATGGCATCCAAAGCATCTCCAGAATATCTAAAAAGTAAAATAAAATACTACTTTTCAGTTTCCCAGCTTTCAGACCCCAGGACTAAAGCCAGGTTTACAGTAATCTTTGGAGCATTTGACTGGTTTTGGAAGTTTTGAGCAGTCCAATTTTGTGTTTTAAAATGCAGTCGTAACAAACCTGTAGTTGCTTTTTGGCAGTATATGATTTATTTTGTCTGGAGACTGATTTTAGCTTTACATGCAGAAGAATATTGCCAGTATAATATGTTGGGAGGAATCTGCTTGTGTAGCTCTACCACTATTCACGGCCTGGCAAGTTTCTCCTACTGAATCTAGACCTAAATTTATCGTGTATATGTTCTGTATCAGGGAAGGGGTTAGGATTTTGAAGTGTTGATAGAGACAAGGGAAGTGTTATTTCTGACCTTTTTGAGAAAAATTGCAATAAATGGTAGAAAGTGGGGTAGGGAATTTGGTGAAAGGATGATAATGATTGGTTGGGATGAGCAAGTGATGGACTACTTCATAGTAGATAGTAGAAAATTATGGTGGCTAATACAAAAGAAGAATTGGAGAGGCAGGGAGATTCAGATAAGAACATGGGATAGATTTTCATAACCTAAATTAGATTTTAAGCAGTTAAACATAAGAATGTTTAAAAGGTAAAAAATGTTAAACTACTATTTCATGTATGTATTGTCACCAGGTTAACTATGTTTTATTAAATGTAGCTGAAATCATTAAGGCCTTGGTAAGAAGTTGACCACTGTCAAATCCCAATTGCTTCAATGGGATGTGAGGCCACTGGTTATCTTGCAGAATGCCATTTTTGGATAGGATTGAGAAGCAATAAAAGTTGGCATATGAAAGCTGCAGAGTGACAAATTATTTAGGGATGGCTCTACTATATTCTACCTTATGTAGTGGGTTTACTCATGCCAGACTTTACAATTGGTGCAGTGTAAAATGAAAAAATATTTGTATATACATTAAATGATGTTAAAATAGTAAGAAAAAATAAGCACATAGTGCTTCACTTTACAATATTCTTGTAGTTGCATCAAACATAAGTAATTTTCTGTTGTGTTTTGAGATCCTTTTCTGTTTATGTTCTTTCCTCTTTTTCCACGTTCACTTAACATCTTCAGAGAACTGACTTATGAAAACTTGGGTACCATAGTTGTGAACTCCATGTCTACACATGTTTGCATTTCTTTTCAGTTGCCATTTAAAACTGCCTGCTTTTTAATTGCCTGCTTTTGTGATCATTATTTTGGGATTAATTACAGTATTTTCTTGTGTGTGGTTTTTTCTTTTTTTCCATTCTTGCTTTTTTTTTCCAGATAGCTATGTTTGAGGTTAGTGAAGTTTAATTTTTTCTTTTTTAATCTAGGAATATGGTTGAAAAATGACATAATTTGTCACAGAACTATTTTTGTTAAATGTATTGCAAACTCTTATTGACATGTTTTAGCTTTTTAAAGAAAATTCAGTCAGCATTAACGTTTTTAAAGTAAAACAGCATAAGCATTGACAGATCCTGGAGTGTGAGCCTAACTGCTCAGGATTGTTTCCAAGCTTTCCCATTATCTTGAGACCAGCTGAAGCCTAAGCTTCTCATCTGATAAGAAAAGCAGAAATGTTTGGTTTTGTGAAGTCTTCTGAGACCTTTGTTTGAAAGACGCTATCAAGATGAGTCCAAATAATATTTTCTTTTTTTCTCTGAAAGTTTTCTGCATGAGCTCATCAGTTTTCAAATGTTTAGAATAGATTTGCATCTTTGAGTGAAAAACTATGAAACAGTATTGCATTTTTAAAGTACTTCTAGCACTCTAAGAGCATCAGAAGCCCTCAAACATCAACATTTGTTGTTTGAAAATGGAAGAGTGGATTTTAAAAGATTTTAGTACAGAAGTTGTCAGAGAAAATTCCAGACATTTTTAAATCACTGCTTACGTGCGATGAAAATATTTGAACAATTAAAGCAGCTTTGAATTTCCTACAATAGAGATGAAAAATGGGAAGAAAGTTAGTATTCATTATAGAATCCTCAACAGGCTCTAATACTTGATACACTCCTTTAGAATGGATTATACCCATTGCAGAATGAGGACAATTTTGTTACCGGCATTTTTTCAACTATGAGGTTTACTTTACTTTTTTGACTTTTCTAAAATATGCACCTTTCAAAGCCAATGCTGTGACCTCAGAAATTATGAAACACTGCAACAGTGGGAATGATGAAGCATTGTATTCCTGGTTTTGACCTCAACATACATTCTTCGTGATGTAGTTACTGCTCTCTGAAAATAGTGTGCTTAGGTGAATTGCATAAAGCATTGCTTTTTCACGGAAGGTACTGGTCCTATCTCAACTCATCCTTAGCTGAACCCATTTTACTAGAGGTAAGGATGTATCTCAGAAATTGCTCACTTGAGCTGCTCTGTTCAGACAATTATAAATGTATCTAACTTAACATTCTTATGTTCATAACTATCAAGAATACCTTAAGATTGGGATCTATGTGGCCCTTCATGGAAAAGGAATATTTAATACACACAAAAATGCCGGTTTTGCAGGGAAGGGCAGGTTCAATTTTGTTCTGAGGACAGAAATTCAAAGTGAGTTTGTAATGTTTGTTTTGCTGATAAATGCAGCTGTTTGGATTTTTAGTAATCAATCTCTTGCATGCAAGAAGTATTTTTTCTATATGTTTACTTGAAACAAGTACAAACGTCAACATATTGAACAAACATCAAATTAGGGTTAAAAATAACTATAGCAATTATTCCATGTCAGGCCATTTTACACTTCCCATTGTAGTTACTTCACGAGGTAGATAAAATATAATCTGAGAGCTTTCTGAAGAGAAAAATAATTTATTTGGCTTGAAAACTATCAGGTGTGTAAGCATAATTGCCTAATACTTATGGAGTTTCGCAAGAGGGAAAAAGCTTTTTTGGTGCTTTATCAGTGTGTTTAACTCCTTAGGTTATTTTGATAGCTTTTACCTTAATTTTGAATTTTTAATTTCCAGTATGTTTTGTCCAAATGTTATATCTGTCTTGTTCTTATTTTTAAAATTCTGAAGTGTGATTGTGGTTAATTATAACTAATCTTCAGTATTAACATAGATGTGCAGAATCAGATCTGTTAAGAGAAGATCGATGACTTATTATCCAAAGTCAAATTAGCGAGAGTTGAGAATTTTAGAACTCAAAGTTAGCTTTCCATTATATAAGGTATTTTAACATTAAAAAAAAGTAATAAATTTAAGTTTTCTTTTCCTCAAGAAAGACTTCCTTTTCAAAGCTTGAAGATGGTAATCTCAACATAAAACAGCTGCATTTGAATGAGTTTTACTAGTAACCCCTCTGAAGTGTTTTATTATTTTGGTTCCTAGAAGACCTCACAAGAAGTGGTAAACCTTGGTGGATGAGTGATGGATCTGCTTTTCCAGCTTCACTTCCAGTCAATGATACGTTAAGTAGTCATAGTCGACAGAAGAGATCAGTAAGCCTTGAACGGTTTGTGGAAACGCTGGTAGTAGCAGACAAAATGATGGTGGGATACCATGGTCGCAAAGACATTGAACACTACATTTTGAGTGTAATGAATATTGTAAGTTTCATCCCTCTCTGTGTTCATACCAATATGTATGTACTGAAATGATTAGACAACTGTAAAGTATTCATTTCTTGACATGAATAATGCTTTAAAATATGTGTTGGCTTGCAGGAATTGATAGTTGAAATGTGGCAAATGTTAGAAACGTGGGAAAAATTGCAGCACTGTTTCTGTCAAGAAATACGCTGTGATTACTTTTAAATAGTTTGTCTTTAATTTAAAATTAATGTGATTACCTTTAGATTATACAGTTCTATTCTGTTTAAGTCGAGAGTCTAAACGCTCCTTGTGCTGAATGAATTACGAAGCAAGGTATAAACAGTTTTGACTGAAAAATGTGACCCAGGAGGTTTGTTTTACTGCGTGATCATTTTTTTTTTTGCCCCGAAATAACTCTTATTCAGGTGATAATGATAATTAACATTATGAAATTACATTGAACAAGAATATAGGTTAATTTTTAACCATTTAGGAAACAAGTAGTGTTTCTTGTCTGACTTTGTGCCTTTTCTTATTTTCTGGAGGTCAGGTTGCCAAACTTTATCGTGATTCCAGTCTAGGAAACGTTGTGAATATTATAGTGACACGATTAATTGTCCTCACTGAAGATCAGGTAAGAGCCGTTGCGCTAAGCTTTGTAGCTTTGAAATACAAGTTATGTTATTGTATAATATAGATTACATTTAATTATTGGTTGAAATGGCTGCATCTGAGTACAAAACCTATATTGTAATTTTCCATTACTGTAATAAAGATGAAACAGTTCAAAGGAATATTCCTCATGTATCATCTCAAAAATACCTGTTCTTCAGGTGAATATTAATACACCTTTGGAGACATCAGTTTTATTTTTAGATCTGTATTTTGACACTCTGGGTTTTTCTTGTATTGGCATGATAATTATTAAAGTTTGAGCAGAAAGAATGCCTGTTCAGTAATACACAGCTGAACTTGGGGTCAGATTTTACAGAGATAAAATTTGGCAAGAAGAGTTTATTCCTAGAAACCACTGCATCTAATTATAGTCCCATTTTAGTTTTCAAAAGGCTTAACAACTGACCTTAGTAATTTGTTTGGAACATTTCTGGTATGCATGTTGTATTGCAGCCAAACTTGGAGATAAACCACCATGCAGACAAGTCCCTCGATAGCTTCTGTAAGTGGCAGAAATCCATTCTCTCCCACCAAAGTGATGGAAACACCATTCCAGAAAATGGGATTGCCCACCATGATAATGCGGTTCTTATTACTAGGTATGGTCATTATAAGTATTGTGTTTATTGTAATTTATTTTATTTCTGTAGCTTTCTTGTTCTTACCTTACATACATATATAGAGAGAGGCTAGCTGTGAAGTAATGTAATTGGTAGGTAATCTCAAGAAGAGGAAGATTAATAGGTGGCTTGTCTTAAATATATCAGACTATTAAAATATAGATTAAGATTTTGGAAAAGTAAGCAAATTACTTGCTTCTGCTGTTATTTTCACTTCATAATTGCCAATGCAAAGTATTCCACTAGAACAGATGGATCTTACTGATTGTGGAGAACAAAACAGTGTGGAAAATGTTTTGTTAACCATAAATAATGTTTTTAATAAGAATTTCAAGCTGGAACCTCAAATACTGTAATAGTATTTCGTCTGAAAAACAGGTTCTTTCAGATTCAGGCAATGTGAGAATCTGCTTTGTAGCTGTTTTGATTTATTATGCTCAGTTAAGATGAGAACTGACAGTTTTAATAGCAAGTTTCAAAGCCTGCATATATGCCCATTTGTTTGCTATTCCACAGTTACTGTGGTAAATTCGACAAAGCTTGCACTGTAATCCTGCAGTCCTGATAAACGTATTCTTGTTTGTCCTTTGCAGTTATGGGTAGGCAACTGTACTTAGGCGGAAAACATTTTCCCCATTGTTTAAGGACATTATTTACTCAAAAAATAGAGGCAGGTGCAGTGGCAGTAGTTTGGATTAGGATCTTTTTATTATAGTTTCTGCTTTTCAGGACAAATTCTGTACTGCCTTATATGTGACCTATTTGTGGAATCATAGTGTTCACTGTAGAACACTTTTAAATAGTGATTAAAATAACGGATCTTTTCCGGAATTTTGCATAGATGTAAAAACGGCTGGTTTTTTTGGGTATGGGTGGTTTTTGTTGGTTTTGGTTTTGTGTTTTTTGAGAGGAAAGAAAAGCTAATGAATCACTTGCAGGCATTTTTGCATTCGTATTTCAAATATAAGTGTTACATGTGGTCATTAATACTATATAGTAACAGAGTGATTAAGTGCCAGAGTGATTTAGAGAGGTGTTATACTCCAAGAAGTTTAAAAAAAATTAATATTAAAGTCAATAATAAAAACAAATGTAATGAAATTAAAATATGGTTATGTTCTAAGATCTTGATTTTTCACAAAGGCTTTCGTTTATGCTCAGTTTTTTGCATACAAGTAATTCCTTCACTATGGCTGCTCACATGTGAAATTAAATACATCTTTACAGCTATGCTACACGTCAAGATTTTACGAGTATGTTTTAGGCAGTGGGTGAAAAAGTGTAATGCATAGGTGGTATTGTTGTGTCAGTTGAAGCCCCCCAATATGTATGTATAAGCTGCATTGGCAACACTATATTTTTACTGTTATGGCTAAATAACTTGATGTTTTGTTAGTGTTATTCTGGCACTGCAAAGCACAGTTGTTTCTTTCACTGTTGTGCTTTAATATGTTTTATTACTGTATATTCTGTACTGGCTTCCCCGCTCTGATATGATGTTCCCAGCATAGTTATGAACAGTTCTGTGTTCCAGATGAAGGCTTAAGTCAGTGCTAACTTGCAGGCCTTTAACGGAAAAAAGAGCAAGTTTTTGGAGAACGTGAATAATACCCATTGAAAAGAAAGTTTTTTTCATCAAGAAGTAGTAACTATTAAGGACTTATTTTATTCATTATGGGGGCTTAGTAATTATAGAAGTATGCTGCCGAATTTCTTTAGGACTTGTGTATGCTACCTTCAGACAGGACGTAAGAGTTATAAAAATAGCTTCAGGAACGTTTCCTGATACTATTGTCAGTAGAAGCATCTTCCTTCGGTTTCACTGGGGAGCTTCTGAGCATCCCTGAAATTGGTAAGAATTAGATACCTTCTTATAATGGGAACCCCAGGGTAGGTAATAGGCCTTACTAAGACGGCTTATTGTAGAGTCTTGGGATATTGGGTGACTTTGTATAACAAGGATAGCAATTACCCGGAAACTGATAATACTTTTGTGTGTGTTACTGTGCTTTTGCCTTCTTTTATTCATTTATGGAACTTTTGTTCATACTTTCTGAGTTTTGAGTTAAGCACTTAAGGTTATTTCAAGATAAGACGGTGGTGGAATTAATGTTCTGAAAGAATGAGACCTGGTGTTTTGTATAGCTCTCGCTCTTTGAATTTGCACCTAGATTTTTTCTGTTGGAGGCTATATTTAAGTCTCAAACTTCAATATTTTATCCTATAATTGTCCAAATGGGGTTCTTGGAGGCAGGTGAAAGTAAAATACTAAGCAGAGAGGTTTTAATTAGGAACTTGATTAATAGTGTAATGCTGTTAAGACAATGTCTTCTTTTTTCCATGAAGTGACTTTGACCTTAGATAAGCGTAGTGAATCCTTAAAATACTTCCATATTACAGATCAATAAAAGTAGGAGAAAAACTAGTATGATCCTTCTATCGCAAGTTTTTTTGGTAGACAAAAAGTAGTCTTTGCATTTGGTTCCTGTATTCCTGCATCACAGATGTGATAATCTCACTTTTTAACACAATGTTGGGTTCTCAGGTCTGTCATTTTAAAGCTCAGCGTAAGTTTTGAGAGTCTCTATATATTCTCCTTTGTGCCTCCCACCCCCAGTGCAGAAGTATTGATTGCCTTTTTGAAGTTAATTCTTGTCTGTTTGCTAATTTTTTTTTAACCTTCATTGGTAGCCTTCTGCTTCTTTTTGTTTCTTCAGAAATTCTCTAAGGAATAGACTATCCATAGTTTACCTTAAAAACACAAAACTTTAGAGGTCACAATGTACACTGTGATATTGTTACTTATTTTTGAAGAACATATAGCCCAGCTTCCCTTCCATTTCAATCAATTGCTTCCTTCCCTTGATCTTACAGATCATAAAGTAGCAACTGTGGAATTCCTCAGCAATAACTTGTTTAAATTGCAAGCAAAAAATTGCAAATATACAGTATGAACAAAACTATTCCTTGTCCTGTGTGCCTGCACACAATGGTAAGGGCTGGAGGGTTGCATTCCAGGTTACACTTTGTAGCAGGGGTGGAGGAGAAGATGACAAGGTTAACACACACCTTTTTTTTTTTTTTTTTTTTTCTTTTACACCCTATGAGTTCTCTAGTATTACAGTATATAGCTCAAGATGGTTAGTTTGGTTTGTCCAGGTGCTAAATAGTTGTTTTTCCAAATGATATGTGCGACTGACTCTCTAAACTTTGCAGCAATGGAGTCTTTTCCTGCAGGGAGGGACGATATTGAGTTATTAATTTACTTCCTGGTGTGTCAGTAGATCAAGTAAAACGTGTACCAAACAGCCTGTCTTAGAGAGGAAAGTTCTAGGGGGAGGTTGAGATGCCCGTGTGTGTGTCTCTCTAAAGGGGCAGAACTTGGTCTTTGAGATACAGATGTTTTAAACAGAAAAACATGTGAAACCTTACTCACTTGAAGAGATAGTACTTCTCAAAAGTCATTGTGTGAAACATCATCTCCTGTTGGTAACATCACATACCAAGATTTTGTCTTATTCTTTGTGAAGAAAACCAAATCCACTACGCTTGATAAAAGCATTAAGATCTTTTTGATGCAGCTGTAGTGCTTTTATAGGAACATAAGGGATTGTCTGCAAAAAACTTTAAGTAAAGTTTTAGTTTTGAGACTGTAAACCTGTATCTTCTCCCCACCCCACCCCAGTGCACTGTTACAGATGCACTTACATAGATACAGCTTCTGAAGTCAGGAACTTATAATATCTTGAAATACAAAAAATCTTTTACCTGGTTTGGAGTCCCCTTGAGTTAATTTTATGAGTGGTTTACTGCTTTAGCAATAATTTATTCCACAGCCCCACTGTGAAGAGATGTACTCTGTTGGAGGAATCTTTATCTGCTTGAATAAAGAATCAGTGCCATAAGATATTTTTATTGGTTAAGCCAAATACACCTCGATTTGTAGGTTAGACTGGTGTCAGTAAAAATGTTGAGAACCACAGATGGTATAATTTTTCTATTTCTCTGGGTTTTAAATGGGCTTGTATACATTAATTTTTGTGAGACAGTGAATGAGTGCTCTCAATACAGACTCTTGTATTCTTGCCAGGTACCACTGTACTTGTAATTCAGTAAGTGTATTGCTAAGCAGTGTGGTATGGCTGCTGTTAGCATTAACCCCAGTATTAGTATTCAACATGTCTCTAGCAACACTGCGGAAGCCCATATGGGAGGCATTAGCATTATTACACAATTGGTGGATTTTGCAAGTCTTTCAAGGAGAGAAATTTTACAGAACTGGTTTATTTTTATTGTGTATGTACAAGGTTAACTTCACAATGCTTCAGTTAGTCGTTCCCTAATTCATGTGCCCACATGAGCAAGGCGTACTCTCTTTCATTTGTCTGTGAGGTATGCATCCCCTGTGCGAGCCAGTGCTGCCAGTTTTTCTTATGGGGCAGAAGGTATACGTATAGGGCAGCAATCCTAAACTCCTGCAAATCTTGTGGTTCACGATCTAAGAACTGCAATGTTTCTGGCATTGCTGGAGATACTCTAGAGGGGCAAAAAGTTTCTTGTTTCATTTTACATACCTGTGTCGAGCTGACCACAATCATGCCTTTCATTTTTTTATAACATTAAGAGGTTTTAGGTAGCCGGGGATGGTTTGGTAGTTGCATTGTCCTGATAACAGTCCTAAAGGAAAATGTATTTTATGGACACAGTTGCCCTTTTACATGTCAGTTGCTTATACGTTAGTAATATACTTTTATTCTGTAGTAACAAGTAACATTTCCCCATCAGGTTCTGTACTAGTTAAGGCATTTGGTAGTGAGGTAGGGCCAGCCAGGACTCTGCACATTCCTTTCCTCCTGCAGGTCCAAGATTGTTACGCTTCTTTTCTAGAGGCACTTTTCCGTTTTTTTTCTGGGCTTCTTAACTTGTTGCAAAGATTTCTTTTCTATACAAGGCACTCTTATGTTGCTCTGTCAGGACAG